ACTGGAAGGTTCCTTGAGTTCTGTCTTGAGTTCTGTCATAATTAATGTTTTATTAATCTAGCAGGCAAAAGTTTGTTTGTCTTTATGTTGGAAATTTCAGTGATTTGAAGAAATTCATTGCATATGGAATAGGATCATAGAGTACTTGAATGAAGTGTTCTTGATTTAGGAAAATAAATTTGACATCTGACTACATAATATCTGCCCTTGAAACTCTTATAGAATAAAACTTGGAGATATTGTGTGGAACTACAGCCTTTGTGTGCTTTGATTAATTTATGATAGTTTTGTTCTTTTGGATTTAGTAAATTACTCTTTAGTTTGATTTTTGATGTCAAAGGTTCTCTAGTTCTTCCATCAGTATTTCTCATTTCTTGTGTTTTATCTTTCCGAATAATGAAAGCCAGTGAAGCTTACAAATGATGCCAACTTATATTTTCTATAATTACTTTTTCCAGCTGAAGATGGTGCTTCGTCAATGTCTGCTAATTTTCAGCAGTTAAGCTTACAGAAGGAAGATGAGAGCTCACCACCTGAAGAGGATAATCCTTCTGTAGTAATTCCACATCACCTCCAGCTTCACACCCCAGATTGCTTTCATTTGAGCTTTGGAAGTTTTGGAACTGGGACTAATGCTGCCTTTTCTGGTTCTGGGGCGTTTCCAAATAGGCCTCCAAATAGTAACGTAGAGGAGTCTTCTGTCTCTTCAGTTGGTCACTCTGAGGCTAGGTATTGTCTTCACAGAGGCTATTATTTCTTATTGTCAAAAAACATAGACACAGGAGATGGGATATGTCAATAACGTGATATAAATTTTGTGACATGTCATTTTCTGAAAAAAGAAAAAAAAAACTTGGATCATGTATTCAACATATACATGTTATATATATATATATATATATATATATATATATATTCTAATGAATTTCACGTGGAGAATTTGTGTTAGTATGTGATATTTTGATATGAAAAACAATGTAAGATTATTTCAAGTGTTGAAGAAACTTTTTACGTGGTTCTAGTGCATTATGCTTTATATCAAAATATTTGGAAAACATACAAACCAATTTAACATTTTTTTAAAGGATGTATCTGCTTAAATTAAATTGTTATTGTCTCATATCTTATTTTATTGGCAATAATTTCATTAGCTTATTTTTTGCAGAAATTCTGAGTATTTCGAGGATGATGGTACTAACTCGGATGGCAACCTAATCCACAGAACTAATGCTAGTGGTGGATATTATGAACCTCCTACTACGCAAGCAGAGGTGAAGCAGGAAAGCTCTGAAAATGCTCAGTCTAATCTATATGCATTTCAATCCTCTTCTCCTGCATTTAGTTATGAGAGCAACCAACCATCAGAAATTCCATTTATACAAAGTAGTTCAGAAATGCAGAACCTTGAGAGAGCAATGGTAATGTCAAACATTCTATTTTCTATGGATATGCACTAAGTTGTTCGGATTTGGGGAGTTCTTTTTTTTCATGGGTGAAATTTTGTTTTAAGAACTTTAGTGGTTTGTGTGGAAATATGAGCAGAACAGTTTTGTGTTTTCTTTTTGGAACTGTTTTTAAGAAAGTTTGTATGCACATATAGATAACCCGCTCTCATTGTAAAACATGAAAGAAACTGGTTTTTAAGAAGGGATAGCAGAGGACTTCTTATCAGTGAAGTGTTTAAGGCTTTGTTTTTTGTGTACCTTGAATTCAGGTGTTGGTAAAATGGAGAATTTGGTTGTGTATTGATTAGTTGATAAGTTTCATGTTTTTTAGCTTTTTAGATATTGTTACTGAAATAGAAATGGTGGCACAGAAGTACTTTTTCTAATAGTTTTTTGGTCACTCAGAACATCTACCTTTGGCTATGGGATGATTGAACCTTAATACAATAGTTGTCATGAGATGAAATCAGTATATTTTGTCAATTTCGATACAATATCAGTTACTGGACTGCACACTATCACCAATCATTGCTTTTCTCTGTTAATACTTATGGTGGTTTGTACGTTGTAATAACCTATGAGTTTTGGTGACTGTACAATTCTGACCGAGAAATATCTACATTTCTTTCAATTGTATTGAAATAGTCTTATTAGGGGCACTGACCGTGCATTTACTGCCTCTTTGCTTTTATTTCAATCTTTGTTCATATGCCTCAAGTGTTCTTGGTAGGATGGCTTCTCATCCTTCGTTATTATTTCCCTCCCCCTCATTTTGCAGCTAGCATACACAAATACTTTGTCCAACAATATGTTGTTGGCTTCCACATCTCAGACAGTAAGGGAGGATCCTCCATATTCACCTTTTCCCGACACACAATCAGTGCCAAAATACAGCAATGTTGCTTCTTCCATCACTGGCCCCTCCATGTCCATGTCGGAGGTTTGTTCTTTTTTAATCTATTCATTCGCTCAGTTTATTATATTGTTGAGAGATCAAATATCAGTCGCATGACCAGTTTATTATGTTATTGAGAGACCGACTCCATCTGATACAAATACATATTGCTTCTATTTGTGAAAATAGTGATTAAGAATGAAATATAATCTTGAATTGATTACTACTTCATTCTCATTAAATAATATTGATGATACATTTATGTGATTCTTGAAGTTGATTACACTGGGTCACCACTTATGTTTAAGATTTTCTACCCAATTGCTTGCTTGGTAGCCTGATTATTCTTAGTATTCAAGCAACTGTTGGAGTTAGAAACCCAAGTTGAAAGTGCATGACTATGCGGCTCTCTTATAGAAGTGTGTTGCTTCATACCATATGAGGCAATTCATGATACCCAAACCACCTAGGATCAGTCATGATGGCATAAAGGCCTTTGGAGACCCAATTTAGTGAAAAAAAGATACGCCGACTCCTAAACTGCTTTGATCCATTTCTAACCCATCTTCTCTTCGCCCACTAATAATTCCTTGTACTAGTAATGCTTTGAAAACTAATGATCTGCTATTGAACTTTGAATGCTCTCATTTTAGTATCGAACATTGCTATAGCCATTGACCTTTTCAGAGGATTTGATCTTGACCTTCTGTAATTGAGTGATTAAATAGTTTTGGCACTGTTTCGTCTTGGATTATGATGTTACCTTCTGTTTATTTAAGAGCGATAGTGTGGAGACTGATTTTTTAAATACCGGGAGGGAAGAAATTCAATAATGCCATCGATCAGATTCATAACTCTCTTATTATCTATTCTGTTAAAATTTCAGGTTCTAAGAACAAATAGCATTACTACTTCTCAGCCCACTCCACAGTCTAATGTTGTAGCAGGACCAGCCCTTCCACAACACCTTGCTGTTCATCCTTATTCTCAGCCCACCCTTCCTCTGGGTCCTTTTGCCAATATGATTAGCTACCCTTTCTTGCCACAGAGCTATACATATATGCCATCTGGTTTCCAACAGGCATTTGCAGGTAACAGTACGTACCATCAAGCGTTGGCAGCGGCACTTCCACAGTACAAAAATAGCATTTCTGTTAGCAGTTTGCCTCAGTCTGCGGCAATTGCTTCTGGTTACGGATTTGGAAGTTCAACTAGCATTCCTGGAGGAAATTTCCCGCTGAATCCTCCCACAGCACCAGCTGGATCATCCATTGGCTATGAAGATGCTATAAGTTCACAGTACAAAGAGAGTAATCATTTACTATCCCTCCAGCAGGTAACTTTTTGGTTCTCGTTTGTGGGTTCTAGAAGAAACTGATAATGATAACAGTTAAATAATAAAAATGGCATGAGGGTAGAATCTTGGACACTTGATTCTCTGAGGCTGTGAAATGAACATTTTTCTTTTTATTCCGTGTGAAAGGTTCCTAGATGATGCCAAATACTATATTACAGAACTGTTGTTTAATTTTTGGACAATCTATGGCAGAATGAAAACCCGGCGATGTGGATTCATGGGCCTGGTTCCCGAACAATGTCTGCTGTTCCCGCTAGTGCATATTACAGCCTCCAAGGGCAGAATCAACAATCTAGTGGATTCCGACAAGCTCAACAGCCTTCACAACAATTTGGGGCTCTGGGATACCCGAACTTCTACCATTCCCAGGCGGGTATATCACTGGATGGCCAACAGCAAACTCTCAGGGACGCATCTCTGGGAGGGTCTCAAGGTCAACAGCCCAAACAGTCACAACAGATATGGCAAAACAGCTACTGATAGGGGCTGAGTGTGTGTCATAGTAGTGGCCAATCAAAGGGTGCCCATATGATCTGGCATTAATTTATTAATGAAATGTTGTTAATTGGTCTGAAGAGATCGACTGGTCACTGCTCTGTGCCACGAGGTTGTATTCTACACATATCATTGTCTGGTTATGTTTAACGAGGTCTGCTAATTTGGATTAGTGAACAACACTCTTTACAGTCCCTTTCTCTCTTGTTGTAGTTATGGGTATGAAAAAGCATCGTTTTTCCGCAGTTTTCACTTAGTTTCACATTAATATAAAGGTTTTACAATGGGTTTAGTGTTGGCAAGGCTTAGTTGGCAAGTACAGTTTTATCTTTGCATTGAATTCTTAGAACTCCGTTTGTAGTGTGTTTATCATCTGGTCTTTGGAGTGAAATGGTTTGCCATGCATACTTTATTCTCTTTTATGAAGTGTAAGCTTAAAATATCCGAGTACTTTGTGGGTATAAATTACTCGTGTTTACTGTTTCGGGGTCTTCCATAAAGTTACCAAAGGTACAGATAAATTTTCATCCATGATCAGCGTATTGTCAAATCATTTTTGTCAGTCAAAATCATTCTTTCTGAAAGATGTTTTTAATCATCTAAAATAAATTTTATTTGCTTTTACCCTTTTCTTTACATTTTTCATATAATTAAATAAATTGTGGAATGATTATGCTGATTTTGAACATGACAAACATGACCTAAACCATTTCAAACTCATTCACAAACATGCTTTGAGACATCTTTTTAATCAAGAAATGACAAGTTTGAATCTTCCATCTCCACTCTTTAAAAAAATTCTAAAAGAGATCAGGGTAATATATGCTCATATTTAAATCAATTAGTAGATAATGTGCAACTAATATCCAACATGATCTGATAAGAAACAATGCAATAAGCACTGCTTATGGGAAAAAGGTAAAATGAAAAAGTTCCTTGTTCAACTAGAAGCAGGAACTTCCATTGGGTCAATTGCGAGAGATTGTCCAGAAAAAAAAATTGCAACTCCAAGGAGATATGAATTCACTTTATGTGTCGTATAGGAACAGCAGCCGGACTGAAGGGTGCTGCCATAAAGATACTTTCTCCATGCTCCTTCCCATTAGCATGTGTATACATCATGTAAGAAGAGATCTCGTCAGATGTTCACGTGCAGTGGCCAGTGCTTGACTTATTGTCTGTGGATAAGATGAGTTAGTCTATATCCATCTATCTTAGCATATGCATTCTCAACGTTCATATTTTGGTTTGAGAATAACCCACACCGGAAAAAGGGTAATAATACCTGCTCAGACAAAGGAGCTGAAGAATCTATACTTTGAGTTGCAACCTTCCCAGCAATGACATTTCCATCGGTCTCAAGAACAATACTGCATAAATATAAAGCATATAAACTAGCTTGTAAAACTACCAGTGTCCTGGCTAACTGAATAACTTTAGATTTGCAACAAAAAAAGAACAAAAATTTACGAACGATGCAGTTCACATTGAATTGCACTTCGATCATCTAAATCTGAATCTAATGATATTGCCCTTGGATGAAATAAGGCATCAAACACATGTAGTTGCACACTATGTAAATTTTGAAAGCATAGGCATATCTTATGTTCCTTCTCTCTAGTGGAAATCTACATAGACTGTTTTTCCTACCAAGTATCTGCATGCATGATAATGCATGAAGCTATCCTGCAGCACTTAATCCAACATTAGCTAGCTCATGTACTGGACATACATTGTAATAGTAATTCTTCCAAAGTTCAGAGGGAACCAAGCCAGTAATGTCAGAAATCATTATGATATTTGCAAACACTGAAATATTTGAACAGAACTAAAACTAATGAGAAGGTCCTTGCTAACAGAAATTTAGCTTCCCTATCATCGCAGGATTCGATGTAGTTCTTACTTCTGTGAATTCATACCCTGGTCAAGGAGCTAAGGACAAGAGATAACATACTAAAAACAATTGTTTGAACAGCTAGACTAACATGTTGGAAAAACCTGGAAATTTAAAATTGATTACAGCTGTGGCTAAATTATTTTAGTGCTATAATATATGTATCATACTCGTGAAGGAAGGTTTTTCAATTCATTACTAGTTTATACCATACTCATGGAGGGGGGTTGTGCCTCACGACGAAGTACTAGGACTTCGCTCCATGTTCCATAACACAACCATGAATTATGATGATATCGCACCCAAATAAACAACCTTTGATGTATAATTGAAATAATCAAATTTTAGATAAAATCAACATCAACAACCTTTTCACAGTACAATTTTGACAAATATGCTTAATAGCCCAAGAAAACTAAGAAAACAATAGGATCAATAAACTTTCAAAGCATGAAATAAGCTTAAACCATACCCGCCATCAACAATTTCATCAAGGCACAATAAAATAAGATCCAAGTTTTCAAGTGCTTCCTTCTTTTCCACGTGGCCCCTGAAGTAGAAGCAAAACACACATTAACTAAAACAGTAACTTGCAGTGAAATACGGTAATTATACAACAAAGTTGATAACCATTAAATAGTAACCAATGTTAGGACTTAGAGCTAAGACCTAAGAAGAAGGCCAACAGCATCGAAGAATCCCTGAAGAGCTGTTGCCAAGATAAGCTCGTTTTCATATTCTCCACCAGTGACAAAAAAATGTAGGTCTTGCACAAATTTGTAAACAACAATATTGTTTTCAAACATCGCAATCTCCGCTACAGATAAAGAATAGATACAAGTTAACAGGATATATAAGTATAGGCCATTTTAAGAACTGCATGGTACATACTTTTTATTGTCTTTGTTAACTGTATTAATGTTACCTTGATTAAGCTGAGAAGGTAATGAAAAAGACAACCAAAAACACCAATAAAAAAGTGGCATCTCTAACTAGAGTATTTCAATTAAAATAGTGACACCTATCTATAAAACAGTGAAGCCAAAGAGCCACAAAACAACGGATTACCTTCAGTTCGAGCATTACTCTTTTGAGTTTTGCTAAATACAGCTTTCTCAAAAGATTCCTTTGCACTATTTGTTGGCCACTCATCGGAGTAATACTTGACAGCCACACGTTTCCCCTCAGAATCCAACAGGAGAATATTTTTTATTGAAGGACAGGACTCCTACATCAAAAGTCACATACAGAAAAAAGGATCATCACATGAAGCTTTGTAATAAGTGGCCCGGGCTGCTCCAGCAACAGTGAGATACCACTCTAAAATAAGAATTCAAATCGTGCATCAAGATCCACAACCCAAGCCAAGGAACGAAATCAGATTATCAAATGCGATTTATTAAATTTGTGACTGAAAAAATGTACGTCATTCAATCATTCATAATCCTAAATAGAGAGAAAAGGACATTTTCAACTAAACAAGCTACTATTTAGCTCTTGACTAATAAAGGAGAGGTTTTATCACCATTGGACTTCTATGATTTAATTTTATCAAATTGAACTCGAACTTGAACTTAAATAAATAAAGAAATTAACATATTTTTCAAAATAAAAAATAATGAAAAATGTCACCAATAAATTTTCACACAAATTGCCAGACTCAGCAACATGAATACTCAATCCCAGTCGCAAAACTGAACAATGAGAGACACTCTATTGAACATCTAAGTGTCCAAATCCAACGAAACAAACATCCAACACCAAGTGAACTACGAAAATCAAGCACACACAAAAAAAAAAAAAAAAATCAAACAAAGGAAGGTATTGATTCCAGTTTCTCATCATTTGATGTAGTCAAAACATCCAGGTTAGACTTGACACATTATGCAAATCAAAGTTAACAAATAACTTTTCCTTTAATTGATAGCAGAACAACTTTTGCGAGTACATCTAATTGTTATTCAATTTCTCATATAAAATTTAAAAGTTTACACCCGTAAACTGGGATAGAAACAGACGCTAAGATGTCACTTGAGAGAAAAAAAAAATGGGAATGTTCCTACTAACAGCATCCTGAACAATGGATCATTCCACCTCCAAAACCAAATATAAGCGCCTAGATGAATGTATGTGCATGAACTAGTTTGACGATTCCCATGTTTCACCTGGAAAAGGATCGTTTACAATCCGATCTGAGGCTCTAACTCGTCCAATTATAATATTAATCTCAAAAGCATTCAATACACGTACAATTGCTATGGGATAAAAGGCAAAAGAATAACTTGCGTTAACATCAAAATCCAAATCAAGCATTACGGCATTGGAAAAAAAATAATTCGACAGGGTGATAAACAACTTGAAGATCGAAAGATCAAGCTAGCGCAACAGCTGTAGAGCAGAAGTTCAAAACAACCAATCACTGAAGGGGATCGAATACGGAAAAGTGAAAGGGGAGAGCTTACCATCGTTTGAAGAAGCAAGGGAGCAGGTTGAGGAACCAAATATTTGTGTGTGAACAGCAAACGAGTTAAAGAGAAGCAGAAACGGGTTGAGGTTCGCGTTTACGAGGCGTGCTTTTAAATCCCGAGACCTGTCCACTGGATCTCTGTTGACAAACGCTTCTGGTTGAATTTGGATCTTCATTTTTTGTTCTGTAATTACATAAAAACCAATTTTAAAAAATATAATCAATTTTAGGTTAAATTATAAGTTTCCTCTTCTTTCCACTTTAAAAGTCCTATACGTCAATAAACTAATATATTTTCTATTTAATATATTACTCACAAATTTAATTATTTTGATAATTAAATCATCTATGAACTATATTTTCTATTTAATATATTACTCACAAATTTAATTATTTTGATAATTAAATCATCTATGAACTAAATTCATAATCGAACTAAACTTTAAATCTTAACTTTCATCATAATAAATCTTAACTTTCATCATAATATTATTTGTGTAAATTGATGTGACGATGTAAAAAAAATTGATTATATAAAGTATTTTAACGTCATTTTTTTTTGTCATTTTAAAATTTAATCGAAACATACCTTAGAATTAGGACATTTTTTATTAGTAAACTTGGGATAATGTTTTATATCATTTTTAAATATTTTCAGTTTCAATTTAATCTTAAAATATTTTTAATTTAGTTTTTTGCAAAACATAAAAATTTGGTCGTTCTTATAGAACATACATAAGATAGAACATAAACATTCAAATTTTATTCTCATAGAAAAATAATAACTTCTGTGTTTCTTTTATAGGGAAAGTCGGCCAATTCTGTAACCGCATGCACTCAGACCCGACAAGATAATGGCCGCGCACGAAACCACTTCGAGTCGAGAAATGCGAACTGACCCTAAAATACCTTCTCCGTTATCTTATCTATATTAAGATACTAACCCTACCCAAATAACAAGAAGATGTAAATTCTAGACCATTCATTTAGAGCAGAGCTTCAAAGCAGTTCTGCATTTGGTTGGCCGTTCAAGAAAGGCCATTGACAATGCAAACAGCTTTTTTATATAAGAAAAGTCCTAGCATTGTACGGACAAATCCAATATCACTGTTAGCGGCCGAGATTTTCACAAAAGTAAAACAAAATCAGAGATCCACGAATCATCTCAATCTAACTACAAAACAACAAATCGCCTACAGAGTTAAAGCTCGCAGTACCACACCGATAAAATATTTTAGAAAAAACACACAATTCTTCATTAAACACAAAGATAATAAGTATCTTCCAAACTGCAAAAGTGAACTGAATCAACGCGTTAAAGTAAGAAGCGACAACCTTCGGGTCTGGACTTAGAACAACATGCATGAAAATGAACAAGAACATTGGCCGAATGTTGGTATGTTTTGGTTCCTGTTCAACAGTCATGTTGACTGCTAATAGCAGCTTTCCGGCCCAATAGGTTATGAACATCAAGCTTATTGATCTTGGAAGCCAGTATGAAGTCATTTTCAGTCAGTCCACCTGCCCAAAAGCTAATTACGTCAACGCCAATAGCACACAGTTCTAAGTAAGAATATACTTCAACAACTCGGAGGTAAACAAGTCAGGAAACTAGTTTGTTTATGCAAGGAACCAATCCAGAAACAAGCTAGATGAAGAAACCATCGAATGGAAAACGAAAAAAATGTTGATTCTCAGCCCGATTCTAAGATACGAACTGAAGGCTTTTACCCTATTGTTCAATTACTACAGGGAAATTAAAACATTTTTGCCATGTGAAAAATTATTTAAACTTCATTATTATACAATGTTGTTCCAATTGAGGAGTTTTCCCTCCTCCTTTTGCCATTCACAATATGAGAATAATGTTTCAATATACAGGAACTAGTGATAAAATTTAAGAAAGATGGTCTCTTCACGTTCAAAAACAGGCCATTAAAATTATGAGTGAAACAATTAAGTGTATGTTTAATGTTTGCTACATAAACAATAAATCGTACCTACTGCATGTGTCCATATCTCAATTGTTACATTGTTCCATCCAACTAGATGAAGATCAGGGTGATGGCCTGCATTGAATTATAGAACTCAGGTTTATCGTTCACTAAAATTCATATTGCAACGAAATGAATTGTGGCGATTCATGAAAACAGAAACAAGTGCATCATATATTTCATATATGGAAAGCAAGATACCCTCTGCTTCTGCAACTTCAGCTATAAGTTTAAACAAGTCCATTCCTTTAAGAAAACTCTTCACCTTCAGTGATCGGTTCAACTTCAGCTTACCATCTTCATTAATAAGGTTCCACTCAGCCAGCTATACGAAAATCATAAAATGAAATAAATGAAATGAAATGCATAAGATGATAGTTTTAACAAACAGAGATAATATCGCATACCTCTCGAATCAAATGTTTTGCTGCATCCTCAGTCATTGGACGTAAATCCTTCGAGTTGCAAGGAACACATTTTTTGGTGGACAAATCTGGCACATACAAAATGGTCAATTATGTCACATAAGCAACGATGGATAGGCAAAACAAGCAGCGTGTTTTAGACATGGGACCACGAGGAGGCCACCATAAGAAGAGATCCAATGGGTTCCCCGACAGTGGAAGATATGCTACACGCACCTTCGCCGGTACAAAGCATTCTAAATCCAGAAAGTGGTTTCCTAGTTGATGATAAGCCCATATGCTCCCAACATATCCCAGTAATTCGAGAAATTGAACTGTACATACACAAATTACCTCTGTCTGAATCTAAAACGAAACACATACAGATGAAACTTGAATATTGTATTGCTATTTATACAAACATTACAGCAAGTATCCGTTCATTATTGATGAAAGAAGACACATAAGTACTGCAGATCACAGAGAAGACAATTTTGGCGTAAAAATTTCGATTCAAGCAATCAAATGAGCGAGTCAGTCATATATACAAACACCTAGCATGCAATAAATTTTGACACAAAAATTACGATTCACAAAGAGGCGTTCCCTCTGGACTTGGAGATCATCAACATGCCATGAAATGATAAAACAAGAGACGCATTTGAATTGCGAGAAACAAATTACCGTCCATGAGGCCGACGGATGGTGTGAAACAGCGACGGAAATGGGACCTGAAAATTCTGAAATTAGTACGAAATCAGCAGTGGACGGATTAGAAGATTGTGATACGACCTTGGTTTTGAAAATCAAGCGCAGCGGAGAGTGAGAAAACACAAACAGGGTCATTGCGATTTGCAGATCAAAGTGTATCCGAAGTTCCCTCGCACCGCTCCGAACTTCCGACTCAACACGTGCACGGAGGACCCACAAAAGTTGGAATTCATAGCCACGCCCATAATTTATTTATGTATTTATTATTAGCTTAAAATACCATTTTTTTTTTATTCTATTTCATTTTCAATGAATTTTTAATAAATCTTAGCAGTAGTTAATATTTTCCAAAAGAATATACTCAATTTATAAAATAACATATTTTCTAAATTTATAAATGAAAGGCTGGTATGACTATATTTTTTAATTATAATAACTCGAAAAAAAATTATATGGTAAATATATATCAATTAGTTGAATATAATTTTAATGACGTTTAAATAACATCTCATTATTAAAGTATGGGATTTGAATTCCTCGGTAACATACTACTGAATTAAAAGTTCAAACATATTCTACGAGGTTTAATCTTTAAAAAAAAAATATATTATTTTTAAAATTTTATGAATATTTTTATTTTTAAGAAACAACGTTAAAAATGAAAAGTATTTATTGAAATAAAATATAAAATTTTGGTAAATTAAATATCAATATTTGGATAATTTAATGGAAACAAGATGCCAAAAGTGGAACAATATTTGGAATTTGAGGCACGACCTGGAGGTCCGATACGCGCTGCAGGGAAAAGGTGGGTTGCGCCACATAAACGCAACCGAGGAAATCCGTACCTCGTTTTCTCTCTGCAGCTTATACGAAATTATTGAACTTCAGTTCTACTGACTGCTACCACGATCCTCGAAGCAATGGTAATTTCGCCAATATCACCTTCATGTTGTCGATTCATTTTTAGTGTGTGGAAGCCCTGCAGTTTGCGATGTAATCGAATGTTGCTTCAACTTGATTTCACCCTATTTATGCTAATATTTGCTTTTCATTGCTTTGAACCCCGCTTGACCAAATGTGTGTCTCTCCGTTTTGCTTCAGCAATATTTCTTCTGTTCCTAATCGGGGATTGGCTTTTATCGAAGTTGTTTACTTGCTTTTTCCCCCTGCTCGTACAAGAATTCTTCAAGATTAGGATTAGATTAGAAACTGTTAGTCCATTTTCAGGTGAAATATATGAATATATCTATAGACAAGCTCATGCGTACGCTACGCATAGAGTAGTTAGTGGTTTTTGGATTTGAAAAAAATTGATTTGATACATTTATGTTCACGCTGCAGTTTGTGCCAAATGAAGCGACATAGGATGTTTTGTTCATGTCTCATTACTGCGTAAGGGTGAGAAGGGTTATATATGTCATGTATGCATGGCAACTTTACTTGTTGGATGTCAAGAATGGTCATTTAAAGGGAGAAAAATCTCTATTTTAGTTGGTTTCTTCCCCATCATTTTTATTTTGAACAATCAAAAGGTTATTGATTACAATAGAGGACCATTAAAAATCTGTTGCTACAACCTTACCAAGTGATTTCAATCTTATAACTTATAAGTTCGATTGCTTAGCTTGGCACGGCAAGCTTAGCTGCTTATATTATCTAGGTAGCAAGTGCCCATGACTTTCAATTATATTTGGCATCCGATAAACTCTTATCTTTTCTTTTCGTGCCATTTTCTTATCTAAGTTGAGTTTTAAATTGAATAATTGACCCTCATACAGGATGATCCTGAACTAGAAGCCATCAGGCAGAGAAGAATGCAGGAACTCATGGCCCAGCGTGGCGTGGTAAGCTGTAATTTTTTTGTTTACATACGTAGTAACTGCTTACTTGATCGTGGACATCTTTGCTGACTTCTAATGATGATTAGGGAAGCCAAAATAATCCTGAACAACAGAAGGCCCAGGAAGAAGCTAAGAGGTTCTCAATTTTATTTTCATTAGTTTTTAGTTGCTACTTTCATTATTCAAGTCCTGCTTTATTGTGCAT